TGTGACCTTTGGATATATTGTAGCTACATATTGAAGCTATTAGCATAAGCAGTGACTGAAATGGTCATATACAAAACCTGGCCATAAAAAGGTCAAGTTCAAGCAGCCCATAAGAATTTTCTTGATTTATACAACAGAAATTGTAGAGGGTCTAATTTTGACCCTCCTGGAAGTCAATCGAGTCTGCACTACGGTTGAAGAAGTAGACCATCTGGCTGCAGTTCATGGTTCCCCACCGCCCCCAAGTCTCTCTGCCCTCTCCCCTTATCTTACCTTTTTATATAAATCAGTGAGAAAAACTGGGAACCCCCACGGAGGTGATAGTAGTAATGTATTTCATAATGGTGACAATGTCTAGTTTTTGTGGGTTTGGAAACACATATCCCCTGTTAATGACTGTTTGAATGTTTTAGTACAGTTTAATCCTTGTTTTGCTTAGAATTTACTGTCGGTGTTACGGCATCAGCTGATTGAGGTCAAAAGGGTTTCTTCCTGCAAATTGTCAATCAAGCAGAGGCTACGAAGTTGCAGTCGGATTTTTCTGTGTGCTCCTGCTCCTTCAGAGAGCTGGTGGTTAACTCAGTCCTTTATTTTTAGCTTTGAGTGGACACTTCATTACAGGCAATTCCTATGCTATCCCTCCTTATGTCTGTGTATCTTAATGCTTTTCCTGCCCTATCTTCTGAGGTGTGAGCTTTCGCTGATCTGTGCGATGCAGTTCCTTACTTTCTAATGCTACTTCTACTTTCAGTGCAACCTGATAAACTCTGAAGCCCCAACAGCATTATCCAATCAGTTATCACACAGTTTCCTTTTTGCTAATCAGTACATCTGCATGGCTTACCTAGATCTTTGTTGACAACTACTTGATTAGCCTTAGCCTCAATGGCATCCCAAAAATTGGAGTCCCTGTCAGAAGAACAACATGGAAGATCAGATTCCATCTAGGACACTCAGCAGAATGCTCTGTACATGGATTTTCTGCCACATGAGGTGATTTTTTTTGGACTAATGTCTGAAAAGGCAAACTGCTTGTTCATATAGGCAATGTATTGTTACCTCCAGTGTTAACTAGAATATAAAAGCGGTTATTTCTTATGCTGTGATCCTGAAGTCTAAAGAGATTTCCATTTTTGCTGGGATCATAGGGGATTATACTTTTAGATGGGCTTTGTTGTCATCTGAAATACAGAATGATTTAGAATAAGGTTATAGGTGCATTATTTTAGACTCAGTCGTTGTGTAGTCCTGAAATGTTTTTGAATTTTTTCAGAAGTTCCACCTTTGGATAGTATATAAGAGCACATCCTGAAGAGCAAAGCCACCATAATGCTCTAGTAGTCCAAGTAGAAGCCAATACTGAGTTTGCAGGATGTTTATTAATAAGAATTTTCTTAAAGTATTCACAGCTTTTTCTTTTTTTAAAGTATAGCATTTATATAACTTCAAGCATGCATAGGGTGAGTGATCTGTCAGATCTTTTCATTGATATGTTTATCTTTAAAGACAAATACAGCATTCTTGGATGGATAACTGACCTAGATGGTAGGAAACATTTTTAGTAAACATTTTACTCTTAATTACTTCTTGTCTTCATTCTACCATTTTGCCTTAGTTACTCTTAGGGAAGCAGTGTGCAAACCTTGTTAATTTTTTTTTTTTTCCTTTTTAATGGCTTAATAAAAATTGTGTTCTTTTCTACTCCTACAAATCTGTAGCAACCTCTCCTAACTTTGCAGAAAGTCCATAGATACTTTTCGGCTTACCCTGGAAGCATGCTGTGATCAGAAATTGTCCCTTAAAGTAAATGAGAACATAAAACTGCAAAGGAGACTGATGTGACTTGAGCAGCTGTGATGTAGTTTCATCATTTATGGAAGAGGTTATGTATTTTAAAAACCATTAGTTTAACTTTGTTCTTTTGCTAGTTTTAGAAAGTTGTTCTAGTGTACCATTGTTGTGATCGTTAGAATCTAAATTTCAGTTTTAAAGTTTGAATGTTGCTTTGTAACTAACAATTTTCATCTGTTCCTATGCATTTGAGTAGTTCTCTTCCTGCTAAATATCTCTTTGCACATGCATAGAAAAACAGTCCACTTTCCTTAGTTCCATATGAAGAAACTGAGCTCTTAGCTTTTCTATTATCATGATGAGTAGAAACATTTTTCTGTAGCTCTTCCACTTAGAATTTACTTATCTTGAACATGGGAAGCAAGAATTATGTGTATTGCTTTGAAAGAGATTGTTCTTATCGTTGTCTGCTTGTCTAGTATATGTGCTCTTTTTCTTTCTATTCTAGATAGATATACTTCTGTTATATTTTAGGATTATAGTGTCTTTTTGTTGTTGCATTATATGTGACACATTGCAATGAATGCACAGTGATCTTTCTCCCTGGGCTTCCAACTAATTGCTTCAGTCTCTTAATGTGAAGGATGGGAGAGAACATTACCTACCTCAGGCTAGTAGAGCCTTGGTTTGCTGACTTTCTAAGCAGTGCTGATGACTTGTGTAGGAAGGCGTGATAGAAATGCACGGTGTTACTGTGTGTAGACTGAGTTCCATTATTTTTTCTGGCAATAAGCATGTTAATAAGTTATTTCTAATGATCCTACTAGGTTCATGGCCTATTGCATTTTGTCCTGTTGGCTTTTAATTGCTGCAGTCGATAAAATTTGTACTGTGTCCCAAGTCTGTTCTCAGTGGATGATTTCTTAATGTTCTTTTAATCAACAGGCTCTTACTTTTTCTGGAGTCACTAATAGAAAAGCTTGGCTTGAGGAACTTCACTGATAACATCCTTTTAGCTCTCTGTGTCTTTCCAGAGCCGGTAACTGCTGCTATCCTTCCTCAGCAAGTTTTACCTACTCTGCATTTCTCCTAGTAATCACAATCTGTTCCATTTGAACTAAGTTTTCAGTGCCATATCATGGCTGTGAAATCTGTCTAGGTTGAATGAATTATATTTTCTTGGCATTAAAAAAAAAGGCAGTTATTTTACTGAAGACAGTCTGTTTAGTTTGTCTTGTACTGTCTAATCTTGATTAATTTTCATTTTACTCAGTATTTTTTTTTCCTCCTGTGCAATTTGCTTTTCTTAAAAACTAGGTTTCAAGTCTTTCATAGTATCATTTGATAACAGGTCAGAAAGGCTTATTATTGAGCTTGCTCTCTCTCTCTGTAGGTGGCACTACTGTTTTCATACAACAAATTTTATTTATGGATCTAAAACATGTTTGTGTACTAGTTTCACAACTCTATTCTTCCTGGTTTGGGGGAGAACAATAAGCTTTTCAAAACTGAGAGAAAAAGAATAACTTCCCTTTTTCATTCTCTTATTTCATCAACATTCCTTCCTTTGTGATGTACCAGTGTCCCATCTGTTTTCTAGCTTGTGAGAATGCAGGCAGATAGCTTAATTCTTGGGCTTGAGACTAGTAATAATTTTTACCTTAGTCCTTATTGTATAGCATCACTGGTTCTTCCCTGTTTGTGGCCAAGGAATCCCTGCTCCTTGCTTTGCTACCAGCAGTATCTTAGGATGTTCACTCTTGGCAAGCCTTTGTTGGATCATCGACCAGTGCTTTTACTGTTCTTGTGAGCAGTCTCTTCCCTTGACCATTGATATCCTTTCATTCATCAGGGAAAGATTCCAGGCAGAATACACAGTTTATGTAGTTTGGGATATGGTCTTCATATATTTCTTGCATCTTTGATTGAAAAGGGATGGAGTGGGGAAAGCAACTTCCTCCTTGCCGAGGTCTTTTATCGAACTTGCTGAAGTTACAACTGCACTGGTTCACTACAGCTTCCCCTTTTGCAACTTAACAGTTTCTGTTCCAAATGACCAACTCCTCCATGTTAGCTTTATTATTGAAGTTCCATTCTGAAGTGTCATTTATTAATCCCCAAACATCTTTGTTTAAAAAGAAACGATACTGGGTAGCACACTCTGTCCAGGCTTTTCCTTCTAATTTGTCATAGTAATTATATCTTGGAAGCTTATCCCCAATAGTACTTTTTGTTCTGGGAAATAAAGATCCTTAATATTTTACGTAATTGTACGTCAGACTTGAGGTATTGTACTGAAAGGTCTTACTGCTGTCTTTTCCAAAAGCACTTTTTAAACCTAATTTTGGCCACATTTAGAGTAAAACTATTTGTACTGTACTAATCACTGAATAGCAGATCACTATTCTTCCAATTAACACTCTGTCTGATTCCAGAGGGTTTCTTGGAAATGATCAATCCAAATAATTTCTTTCTAGGAAGCATTAAAAGTACCCATCATCTTAATAGTCTGATTTTTTTCCTTCTGTTTCTTATTTTTCCTCCCACCATGGTTAGCAAATTGTTCTTCCCACAACATGTCTTATTTTCCTTGTAAAGCAAAAAGTCTTCAAATCTTAGCTCTAGGGGAACCCTGAAATTCTATTTACGAAGGACTTGAACATTAGGAAACACAATACTTTACTGTTTCCTTTGCTGGAGGAAGGGGAAGGGAATGGGAGTCTCTCTGTACGTACTCCTTTTCCAGGTTTTTACTATACATCTGCAAAGCTTATTCTTGGGCTGAAGTTCCTTCCCCTTTCCACCTGCCTCTCCAAACAGTCTCCCTTTGGTACGGTGAGCTTTCTACATACAGAAAGCAGCACAAAGTGGTAACTTTGCCTTGGTTGTTGGATCTTGCTTAGCCTAATTCTGTGTTCTTAGCTGGTGTGATGTTGGTGTCTCTCGCTTGGAACTCTGTGTTGTTTTTCCATCTTTCTCTAACAGATACTTCTGTTAAGAATTCATTTCTTCTGGAATAGTGGGCAAAATAGAACATAAAGCTTACGGTGGTTTATGTTCCTCTTTTGCTAATCCAGACAGACTTTCATGGCAGGTACCTGTAGTAAGACAGACCTTTATGGAGTACCTGGAAGGGTTGGCAATTGGTGTGGCAGCCTCTGGCCTTGGGGGTGTGCGCAGGAGTGTGGGTGTGGATGTGCTGTGAGACCATGGGCAAACCATTCGCACGTCTTGCCTTTGTCTTGGCCGGTAAGATAGTGAGAACAGTACCTACCTCAGAGGTTTTTTGAGGCTTGGTTCCTTAACTTCTTAAAATCACGCTGATGGCCTCTGGCAGGTGCTACGGAGGTGCATAGTGCTACTGCCCGCGGGCTGAGTACCACTGGTTTTTGTCTGGCAGGATACGGGCCTGCCCCAGTTAGGGTAAGAACTTTGTTTGGTGTCTCTTTAAAGAAAATGCACAAGTGCTTTGCTGGGGAGAATAGAAAGGGGCTTTCTGAAGAGGTGCTGAAGACATGAAAATTCAGAGTGGTGATTGGTCACCTCTGCTTGATTGACAGGTTGCAGGGAAAAACAAAAACCCATTTGTTCTGGCTTAATGGAACTGGAAAACAGAAAATGAGTATCAGGTAAAAATTCCTTTTTTAAAATCTTTGCAGTTCTCCTTTAAAAAGTGGAGTTTTTACACAAATCTACACCTCCCCCACTCCAGTAAAGTAGGAATTGCAGAAACAGGCAGTTGCTAAGTTGTGTAATGTGGGTTGTGTATGTCAGTGCGTTTCCTTGCGGGCAGGTGTTCCGAAACACCGCAGCAGCCAATGCTACTGGGCTAGCTTAGAGAAGAGGCAGAGGATGGAAAGGGTGTAGTGACTAAAGCCCTGAACTGGACCCAGCTCTCTGGTTAGGTTCATTAGCAGGACATTCAAGGGGAAGCTTTTATTTTCACTTCCTATACTGTGCCTGCTTTGTGGACAAAGTCTGTCAGTTGCTACTACTATCAATTTGGCATCTTTCATGAGCATTATTACAAAATTCACTGAAAAGTGAATAGCTAAAAAATAAACTTACGTTTTAAAGTAACTTCCATCTAGCAGTATACTGTCTTACAGATTTTATAATAAATTTCAACATCAGCACCACAGTTTTGAGAATCGTAAGTGAAAAATGATTTATTTCTGGTAACTTAATTATTTTATATGTTGATGTATTTCAGATTGAAGGACAAGGACATGGTGCAGTTTTTGACTGCAAGTGCTCTCCTGATGGACAGCATTTTGCATGTACTGATTCTCACGGTCACCTGCTGATTTTTGGCTTTGGTTCCAGTAGCAAATACGACAAGGTACAGTGCAAGTTGAAAATCACAATGTTTGTCTGTATTGAATGCATTTGTGCAAGCTCTTCTTCAGGGCTTCATTTCAAGTGGGTTTATCTTAGCACAATTTTTGAGCCATTGATATGGGATGTTTCAGATTCCTGTTGTTGACATTGAGCTTTCCTTCACTGTCTGGTTGTTTTTTCAAGCTGTGGAAACTTGCTTTTAAGCTATGGTTTACATGGGAAGATAAAAATAATTTTAAAGTTTAAAAATAAAAATTACCCAGTCACTGTCTACTCTCTTAAGGGACAAGGTTCCAAGTGTCCACTAATGGATCCACGTGGATAATGTGAATAAACTGCAGTGGAATTGGTAATAGTTAAAAATTTTGCTTTAACTAAGACATAAAAACCCAAACAAACAAGGGGACGGGGGTGTAATAACGAATTCCGGCTGTCTGTATTTAAACACTGAATAGCCTGGGAGACAGTTATTTACAATAAATATACTCCTGTGTTCTAGTCATACAGTTGTATGTTTGCTAATGAAGTTCTGCTGTCATGGATGCCTTGGTGCTTACAGAGCAACATTCCACCGTTACTGTGTAATTAAAATATTACACCTTTATTCTAATGCCATAGTCTACGTTGTGTATTCTAAGTGTGGGTGTCTTGCCACAGACCCTCATGACTGTAGATGTATGTGGTGGTATTTTTTTTTTTTTTTTTTCCCCCTTGTGTATGAACTTGCCCTATGAACCATACGGGTGACCTAGTTTGGAACGCCCATGAGGTCCTAGCTCTTCTTTTACCATCCAGGGAAGAGGAAAGGTGTGTCTCTTTTCCCCCTTTCTAAGACTTAAGCAGACGTATCTGCTCCAGGATTTTCATCTCGGTTTCTGGTAGCTGATACTTGAAGCTAATTGGTGAAGTGCTGGCTTCTGCATCTTGCCTCCTGCTTTGGATCTTTGGACTCTGGTAGGCCTCAAAAGCGTTTTGGCAAAGAGCAAAGCAGAGGGGCCTGAAGAAGGAAGAACAAGGGGAATTTCAATCTTTGTCTTGTAAGCCACTGCATTGCTTTCTGTAGTCTTCCAGCTCTCATTTTAATGCTAGTTACAGCACCATTTGCATATTGGGAATTTTTTTTCTTCCCCGTGTCTCTCAACTGTAATGTGAAGTGCTCTGTACTTGGCTGCTGTTGTTATCCCTCCACTACTACCAGCTGTACAATTCCCCTTCCAGTACAAAGAAAAACAAGGGCGGAGACACCACAAGCAAGGAAAAACAGGGTTACCTGATGATTTTAAAAGTCTTCGTCTTTGGGAGTTCTTGCTCCTTCAAACTTTAAAGCCTGTTGTAATCGAAACCTTTTTCTCACCGTGTCCATGGATTGTTCTGGGTTTGTTGTTCTCCTCAGTCGTTTTGGAAGTGTATAGTCCTCTCCTACTCAGAAATGTTGGAAATGAAATTGAAAGTGAGAACCTTTCTGTCTGTGCTGTGATGGACCAGGAGTTTCCTTTATGCTGCTATTTTACCTTGGGTGGGATTATTAGATCTGTTTGAAGTATGTAAACAATCACTTTTCACTTCTTGAATTCTACAGACCCTTTGTTCTCTTGGGGATTTTGCTCTAGCCTCTGAGAAAAATTATGTTTAAAAATTTTCACTTAATTGGGTGATGTAAAATGATCCTCTCCAGCTGTTACTGTGCCAGTGGTAGTCTTGGCATTCTTGACCGTAAAGAAATGGGAACAAACAGAACTTATATTTGTTACCTCTTTAATCTCACTCTTCAACTCTCAGAACACTCAGCTTGGAAATTCCCAATCTCTGTTGTGTCTGGTTCCGGCTCCTCTTTCATTTTTGTCTGACTTGCTTTATGGAAAAATATAAGATAGGTAGGTGCTGGAGATCAGGTGTTCTTTTTCTCTGTCCTCCCACCCTCAGATACTTGGGGCTTTTTCAGACACCTTTTGAGACTATGTATTGGTAAAGACCTGTGGTTTGTTGGCTTTAAAATTGTTTCCACCTGTCTTGGGAATTTGTACAGAAGAAAGGAGTGTGGTAACCTCTCCTATATTCCTGCTTTTGCAAGCTGTGCTCAGGACAGTGATTATATGGCCAGGCTGGATGTGGCTTTGAGCAACCTGGTCTAGTGCAAGGTGTCCCTGCCCCCATGGCAGGGGGGTTGGAACTAGATGATCTTTAAGGTCCCTTCCAACCCTAACCATTCTATGATTCTATGATTCTATGATATTGTTAGCTCTGCTGAGAGAGCAAGCTCTTGGTTTCCCACATGTAAGTTTTCTCATGCCATATTCAGATAGTCTGAATATCTATCATAATAGACTGGGGGAGAGGTGGTGGTGGCAAGAACACACTTGTTGCTTGTTTGGAGCATCTTTGTTATTTGACCAATTAAGGAAACCTTGAGCCCATCTCATCTGAGATTTCTGAGTGTGTGAAGATCATCAGAGATGATCTGAACTCACTGTCAACAGGGCATGTGGGCTTCAGAAATTCTCGCTTAAATGGAAACTTAGAATCATAGAGTCACAGAATGGTTTGGGTTGGAAGGGACCTTAAAGACCATCTAGTTCCAACCCCCCTGCCATGGGCAGGGACACCTTCCACTAGACCAGGTTGCTCAAAGCCTCATCCAGCCTGGCCTTGAACACTCCCAGGGATGGGGCATCCACAGCTTCTCTGGGCAACCTGTTCCAGTGCCTCACCACCCTCTCTGGGAACAATTTCTTCCTGATATCTAATATAAATCTCCCCTCTTTCAATTTAAACCAGTTACCCCTTGTCATGTCAAGTTGTTCAGGTATACCTAACTGTCCTATGTCACCTTGTTCATACACCATAAGGTACCTTTCTGTTGATTTTAAATCTTAGATTGGACTAGATTTCTGAGGTTTCTAAGACATTCCTGTAGGCTGCCCAAACCACGGTTCTTTATTGGGAGTTGAGAGCTCCTATGTGGTGGATTGGTGCGGTAGAGGGGAAAATCTCTTTGTATTTGTGTAGGAGTGCCCAGTTGGAGAAACTTAGCATTCCAAAGTCTGTTTGTAGAGCTGGCACCTTGTAGAAAGCTTTCACACTGAAACCCAAGCTGAGTTTGTGAAGTTTATGTGCAAAATACTCACATCTCAGTGGTGGTGTAGTATCTTCTTTTTGTCATTAACTTGATCTCTAATAGCATATGAAGCAGTAGGTCTGATTGCTAGTACCTTGAAGTGGTTGTCTGCTGAACATAACCATTTAAGATGCTTTAAATTGTCCAAATCTTCTGATTTTTCTCAGGGTTTGGAATAGCCTGAGGCTAAGATTGTTGCCCCAGTTCCAGAAGGGACATCCCAGTGTTCTACTGGAGAGTTGGTCTGAGCCTGGGTTCTCCATGAAATGCCATTCTTATCTCTTGGGTAGAAAATTGTTTACTCTCTCTGCCATACTTGATTGCAGTATGGAGTACACAGAAGGGTAGTTGGAAAGAAGCCCTTCATGATCTTGCACAGAGGCTCTTCTGGTAGAAGTCACTGAACCTGGGATACAGACAACACTGTACCACCAAATCACAGCACGTAAAAACCCTACAGTCTGTATGACTGTGTCCCTGGAAACTCTTCTTTCTCAGTCTGGGAAGTACTTAGTAGGAAAATATACACTAGGTTAAAGTACTGGATACTCTACTGTTACGATTCTAGGGGAAATCCTAAGTCCTCCTGGAGGACCTGTTAAGCAGGCCTTGATTCTGTCAGTCAGTTGAAAGTACCTGCATCTTTCTTATTCAGCCTGTGTTGAGAATCTGGCAACAAGACTTCATCCAGTCAGGGCTTCTTACTGCAGTGGGATGTCACCTTGTTCACACACACTTCTTTACGGTCACCTTTTGAATCCGGGAAGTAAACTGTTTGCTGTTGAATCTTTCCAATTTCTTCCTGGCTTTACTTTTCTGATGCCTTGTGGGGTCCAGATTCCAGGATTCCTATGAGATCTATTTATTTATGTAGCCATTTATCTATTTGTTTGTTTACCTCATAACAGGGAACTGTATTGTGGATTGGTCATGATAGAGCATGCTCTTATGAAACCAGAGTATGTTTTATGACAACTTAGACATTCCTCTGTCCCTGCTCAAACCCCCCTCTTTAACACCTAAGACAAGATTTTTTGGAGCTCTCTCTGCCTTGAATCCATTATTCAATCATTTTTATACTGCACTGGAAATCTAATTAGTGTGAATGATGATTTTATGATGTTATTTTTACTTGTTCAAAGTTAAACTGAGCATGTGAGCTGCCAAGGGCTTTGCTTGCCAGTAGGCAGCGTTGGCATGTGTAGTATACACGTCAGCTTGTCTTCTGATCGCTTCTCCTTGTGGTTCAATATCTCTCTGATTGCACAATACCAAGATGCATGTGCCAGCAAGGGATGGAGTATAAGCCTTTTTATATACTGTATGGACAAAAGAATTCCTCCAGTCTTGAGTGTCTGTGGTAAGTCATCTAAAATTACGAGCAAGTGGACTGAATTAAAAAAAGAAAACTTTGAGCCTGAAGAATGCAACTTTAGATCAGCTTTATTTTATCTACTGGAACTTTTTTGCCTATCAAGCATTGTGATGGGAATCTATATGTGTGTGGCTACTGGTGTTAGAATATTTAGCAATGACATGATGTGGTAAATGTTTTCCTATTCCTCCTCTTCCTACACTGTAGCTCATAACCCTGTGACAACAGCTTTTATTATCTGACTATATATTCATATGTTCAGGCTATAGAAGAAAATTTGTGAACCATTTAATATGTCCGTGCTGTGTGGGTTGAAATGTCTTCAGGTAGTTAAATATGGCTGTATTCTTGTTTTTTAAATGCTCCCACCCTCAAGCATAAACATTATTCTCCTTGCACTACAAGATAGAAAGGTTTAGTGGGGGGAAAAAAACGATCATGGAGTCATTAAATTTTCCCCTTTAAACGGAGATCAACAGATCAACTTGTAACCTTGCTTTTGCAAAAGTGACCACAAGTAACATTGCTAAAAATAACTTTTGGCAGTTATCTTCTGTATGCTTTTTTTAGTGGGTTCTTTAAAAAAATTACAAAATGACTTTGTTTACAGATAGCAGATCAGATGTTCTTTCATAGTGATTATCGGCCCCTTATCCGTGATGCCAACAACTTTGTCCTGGATGAACAGACACAGCAGGCTCCACACCTTATGCCTCCCCCATTTTTGGTTGATGTGGATGGCAACCCTCATCCTGCGAGGTATCAAAGACTAGTTCCTGGTCGAGAGAACTGCAGGGAGGAACAGCTTATTCCTCAGATGGGAGTGACATCTTCAGGTATGGAAAATTTCACTTCACTACACAGTAGCCTATCTAGTTACCTCCCTACACTTTCCCTTTCACCTCGTCCTTTTTCTTCATTTCTGGGCATAGTGGTGTGGAAGAACTGCAGCGTCCTTGGCACTGATGGCTTGGGACAATTTCACTTACAGTGTTGTCATCTATCGAGTCAGTACTAGTTGGTGCTACAACGGCAGTTGTCTTGGAGCTCATTTCATTATTGGAACAGTGTAAGATGCTGAGTGAGCTTTCAGTTGATCACTTTGGGGTAAGATTTCCTACTTCAGAAAACCTGGGAAATAGACTGATTTTTTCCATGCATCAGCTGGAACAGGTGACACCTACAAGAGATAAAAATGAGAGGACATCTGGAACAGGCAATATCCTCTTTGGAGGAAGGCAGTCATTCAGCTTTAAGCTTTGATGGTTTGGTTAGAGAATTATGAAGATATGATGAGGATACAAAACATAGGAAGTTTCTTGAAAGTTGTATTCTCCACGTACACATCACAAGAGGAATGTGCATGTTTTGGGCCAATGGTTGGCTGTTGGAAACTGCCTATATGTGGTCCATACGGGTAGGGATAAGCAAACAGTGACTGGTGAAAGTAGATTTAAATGTCTTCAAGATAAGCATTGTTAAGTATTTGGATGTTCTTGAAAATATAGGAAAACTGATTGTGCCTGGAAATAGTGGCTTTATGTGTACACAGTGCTTAAGCCTGTGGTGTGTCAGACATTTCAGGGCGGTTAGCTGACAGTGTTCTTACCAAAGATCTCTTTATCCTCATTTGTAGACTGAGGATTATAAGCCACTGGATACTTAATAATTTTCAAGGAGCATTTTTATATGTCCTTCAAAATTAAGAAATGCCACCTGAGAAGCAACTGTAAAAAGGAAAAAAATCCTTTCTGGTGAATGTATGTCATATTTTATATCTAACTTCTTTTAGTTAGTGGCTTTGAAGCTAAATTTGATTTCCAAGCAAGAATGTAATTTTTACTTTGTTGTTACAGTATGGATCCATGATACTCTGAAATTCTCCAGATTTGAAAATGTTCTGGGCATGTTCTCCAATATAGTATATTGAAACAAGTCAGACTCTGCACACAGACCCAACAGTATTAAATTTAATGGTGTGGCTGTACGACATGTGAATGCCTATAGGAAGATGATGTCCATATCATTTTGTTTAATAGCAGGAAGCCATCAACCATGCTGACAGTGAGCCAAAAGGGATCATGGAGAGACAGAAGACATTTTTCTACATCTTTACAGTTCAGCAACAATATATGCAGTCTTATGCAGAGCTAAACTGTGTTCATGTATCTTATGTTCCTTTCCACTAAGGAAGCTCCATTTCTTTCTGAAACTTTATTGTGGGATTTGATGGATCTCCCTCAGAGCACTGACAATATGTTTCTTGTCAAGTTTTCTCTAGGGGCTGTCGAGAGTAGGGCGCACAGTCATGCTTCATGTACTGCTTAGATGTACATGAAGCTCCTTTAAATCAGGTGTTTTCGAAAAAATCAAATATATATCAATGTCTTTATTTCATTTATCAAAAAAACGTTGCTCTTGCTTGTGAAAGCAAAATTGCATAAGCCAGGTATATAGAACACATTCATTTTGTTTAGGTAGCTGTTTCCTTATTTAAGATCATTCTAGGGTTATTAGTAGTATTTCCCATTGTTTTCAGTAGACTGCTTATGAGATCACCAAATAAATCTGACTGTCTCACTGCATGAGTCAGAAAACATCCAGCTGTGGTTATACCAGAGCTCGTTCCGTGATTTCAAGGTTCTGCTGTTTTAGGGAAGTTGACTTCAACTACAATAACCTTGAAACCCTGAGAGCACTATCTTAAATATTCATGTTCTTTCTGCATACCATCATTTAGTAAGAGATGGCTGCTTCTGTCTAGCCATGTAATCAGAGCTCTTCATTTCATAGCACAATTACTGTAATACCTTGCCTTTGATCTTGCAAAATGCAGGTTACACTATGATATCTCTTTGGAATCGTGCTGGGAAAATAATTTCTGTAGTTTGTTTCTTTGAACATTGTCATCCCTCATTACAAAATTTTGCGAGTTCTGCTTCTCTTGACCAGGGCTTCCCACCACTCCACTCCTCCATCTAACTATTCCCCATAGGGCTGTCTGACTTCCTTTTCAAATCAGTACTGTAGCCCCTGCCTTTCTCTCCATACCTCTCTAATTTTCTTTGTGACCACTGTGAGTACGAAGAAAGGTTTCGTGTTGTTTATGCTAACATGCCTGTCCCTTGACAGGACAAGGAGTAACAGGTTTAAATTGAAAGTGGGGAGGTTTAGATTGGACATCATGAAGAAATTCTTCACAGAGAGGGTGGTGAGGCACTGGAACAGGTTGCCCAGAGAAGCTGTGGATGCCCCATCCCTGGAAGTGTTCAAGGCCAGGCTGGATGAGGCTTTGAGCAACCTGGTCTAGTGGAAGGTGTCCCTGCCCATGGCAGGGGGGGTGGGACTAGATGGTCTTTAAAGTCCCTTCCAACCCAAACCATTCTGTGAATATTCTCTAGTATAGATAAATTTTTTCTAATTCATTTAGACCTTGTTGATGTAGTTCATTTGTTGACACTCATGCTAAAGTGTTTTAGAATGCATTTGGGGCAGGCTGAGCACTCATTTGAACAATTTGTGTTGACTGAAATGACAAACAACAGTTGTGTTAAGCTTCTGTGATTTGCTGGCACTTGATCAAACTTACCCTTTTATTAGGAGTGGCATGTGACCACTTGACCCTGCTTCAGAGAAAAATTTGTCCTGTTTAAAAATTGGCTGTTAGAAAAACCCGCATTAGCCCATACTTACACATGTGATTATGTACTGTACCTGTAAGTTTCAAAGCTAAAGTTTAGATGAGTCGTTTGTAACATTTGATTCTTCAAATCAACATTTGTGTGTTTGTCTCTTGTATATTTTATGTCGCAGGATTGAATCAAGTTCTTAGTCAACAAGCAAATCAGGAAGTTAGTCCACTGGATAGCATGATACAGAGACTTCAGCAAGAGCAGGACCAGAGACGTTATGGGGAGGCCGGAACCAGTAGTACCAGCCGGATAAGCAGAGGTAGATGACTGGGGAATGCGGGTGTTGGGGCTGTTCTGTTGAAACAGCTGAATTGGAAAAGGTGAATCACATTATTGTGCATGAATTGTGCATTTTGTTGAACAACTAGAAAGGAGGTATGGAGCCATAGAAAATAAAACAGCTTTCCCATTCTTTTTTGCCTTTCTGCAAAATGTCAGGATTCTGAACATCACAAATTTTATCCTTGTTAAAGTTAATTGTTTGGTCACTTGGGGAACTTGCAGCAACTGTGTCCCCTTAGAAGTAACTACCCTACTGTTTAATCTGGAGTTGGCCATCTACTTGATTGAAATCTGAATTGTCTCAAATAAGGAAATAGGAGGGAGAAAAGAAGCAGGAGCTGCTTGTTTTCAGAGTATGGCTGTTCCATGTTTGTGTCTTGCACTAGATTGCAGGGTAGTTTTCAATACTTAAACAATCACACTTGGCAATCCACCTGAGTAAGCAAGAATAGCTTGTGTGTGGAAGGATGTGGGAAAACATTGATGTTTTGCTACAGTGGAGGTGTTGGTAGGAACCTGCATGAGTTTCTGGTTTTGTTTGGGTTTGGGGTTTTTTCCCTTTTGACCATTTCAACTTACTGTCTGTAAATTTTACAGCTTGAATGCCTAATAATTTGTGTTGTGGCTTCATTGTTTTGAAGGTAGAAGACTGTTGAAGGAATACACTGATTCAGTGCGATACCTCACTGTTTTATAATATGGTTCTAGAGTGCACTAGCAATAGTCATCTTTGTATAGGTGTTTGCAAAAGCATTAAAAAAAACCAGCAATGAAACATTTGCTTCACTTCAGATTGTTGATACATCTGCTCCTTTTCAGTGTGAATTTTTGAGCAGAGTACTGCAGCACAGTAGCTGTTTTAAGTGTGTGTTGGAGTGATAATAGAGATTGCAAAACCAGTTATATACAGTTAGTATTTGATTTCTTTTGCAGTAATAGATTAAGTAAAAGTCTCTTTTTCCTTTCATTTTGAGGGTTTTTTTAAACTGCTTCCCTTAGAATTTAAGATCAAGTACATCTGTCACTTTCTGACTTTTTAGGATCTGTAAGTTCTACCTCAGAAGTACATTCACCACCAAATATAGGATTAAGACGTAGTGGGCAAATTGAAGGCGTGCGTCAGATGCACAGCAACGCACCGAGAAGTGAAATAGCCACTGAGCGGGACCTTGTGGCTTGGAGTCGAAGGGTTGTAGTGCCTGAACTGTCTTCTGGTGTGGCCAGGTAAACATAGGCAAAGTTTGCAGTGCCTTTTAGTTTGGTGAATTTAATTAAATTGAACAGGTTTGGAATTCATGTTGCCATAGAACTATTTGTGTGGCATTTACCTATTTTGTCATTTCATATTTTTTTACAAGATCAGTTTCAGTTTGAAATCAGTTGTTGTTTGCATGTCACTTGAAAAATCTTGGAATTACAGAGGTGTTGTAAATAAAAATTGGCCATGACAGAGTAATTAACTTGTATATGCAGTGGGATCAAACTGCCTCAATGTTTTCTGACTTGCAGCATAAGATTACAGTATGTTTTAACTCTACTTGTTCTTGCCATTGTATGGCATTTTACAACTGGGACACTGACCTAATCCATTGGGTGCCTGCGGTGAATTTTGATTTCCAAACTGGAACTTTTAGTTCAGTAATTAACTCGTGTGATGTCTAATTATATCAATAAGTCAAAAAAACCAACCTACTAGCCACAGTCCAACTGCTCTAGCTTTTTGAAATAAGATTGAAATTTGACTGTGTTTAGAAAGGGTAATTTTGAAGCCATATTCTGTCTAAAGAGAAGAAATACTGTTTAAAAAAAAGGTATAGACATTGAACAGTTATTCCTTGATTTGGATTAGATCTTCTCAGTTGTAGCATTTTGCTTTAAAGGTAACACCTCTGTTTTCGTTTTTCAGTAGGCAGGAAGAATGGAGAACAGCAAAGGGAGAAGAAGAAGCTAGAGTGTATCGATCAGAAGAGAAAAGAAAACACGTTTCGAGTCACATTCAAAGAGAAAACAAAATACCTGCGTTCTCTAAGGTAAATAGTCACTTGTACCTTTTCACAGTAAGAATTATAAAAATCAACTCAGTGTGTTAGGCCACATAAATTTACATTGCTCTTCTCAGGTGTAAAAACCAGGGGTGTACAGGAGTTGGTTTACCTCCCCAGAATAAGGAAGCATGCCTTCACTGATGTTTCACTGTGTTCTGGGTGAACAATGGGGATTGCTTCTAGGAAGCCCTAAGTGAGAAGTTCTATGAATGTGTTGTTAGGGACATGATTTGCTGCAGGGAGGCTGTCACTGTTAATCAATACATCCCGCTACTGCTGTCCACTGTTTGATATCCTGTTTGGTGAACTGAAAGGTTTGATTAAAAGTCAAGCCATAGTTCTTAACCTTAACACATTCAAATACATCTCCAGATGCAGGATCGGGTATTTCCTCTCATGGTACCCTAACAATCATATTGTGGCTTTGGATGGGATACTTGTAAGTCACACGTTTTACTAGAGCTGGAGTACGTTTTTTGGAAAAGAGTAAAATAGGATAGATGAAATAGAAGAAAATGAATTGTATTAAAAATGAAAATTTTTTTGCAAGTCGTATGAAAACATCAAGTCAGTTATGACAATCTTCTGCTTTTATGCTGACAAGAAAATAGAAAGTATGTATATTCCATATTTACAAAACCAGTTTTATGTCTTGTTTGTTAGAAATTAGTTATATCTATGTATTTCACATGCTTGTCTATGCTTTTTCTATCTAAATAACCAGTGATATTTTGTAATAAAGGAAGTAAATTTTAAGCCACTGTAAAGGGAAAACCCAGGCTTTGAGTTTTGTAGTACACTTATTCTAGATGACTCGCTCACGCTTAATTCAAAGCTTAGTAAAATACAGGCTTTCAAGAACACCTGCGAATTGTCCATTGAACAATAAAGGCCACTTAAGGGGTTCAAGCTGGAAAATGAAGAAACGAAACATTAAGAACAAGTATACAAAAGACTCTGCAGCTCTATCAGAGTACCATACTTAATGCCCGTGCTGTTTATTACTCAGTTTCTTGGGGAGGGAAGGACCGAGATTGAAAGCAACCTGAAAATAAGTAAATTTCAGAGGCGTAGGAGTGCCTCTGTATTTAATAGTAAACGATTTTATATGCAGTAGAAAGAGTAAATTTGAGATGGGTAAGTTTCTCCTTGATACTAAATTTGAGTGTTCAGTTTGCTTCTTTTTTCATACTCAACCAAAATAAAGCTTTCAAAAGAAGTGAGATGAATGCTCCTCCAACCCCAGACAGTCCCTTAATCACTTTCCATTTCTGTATGAAATTTCTTAAATTTGTCTTTCAATTTCTTTCTTGTATGAAAATTGTGTGCACTGCTATCTTAAAAAATGGTACCGATATGCCAATTTCAATGCTACAGTCATCAAGTGTGTTTGCCCAAGATAAGGTGAACAGGTATTTTTTTTCAGTGTATATCCAGTTTTTGTACATAGAGGGAAGAAGCTTTATACCACTTATGGTTTTGAAGGAGGCCGTGGCAGGGCTCGTTAGTGAAATACCAGGACATCAGATATCTTGGGTAACTCCTGGTTTTCTCTTGGGAATAATAGAAAATGAGCCTCACAAATTCAGATTTTAACAAAGATGTGTCTTGTCTTGAGAGGGATGTATTTTGATGCTGAATTATAGATGTTCTTTTAGGTGAAGTAAAAAATTGCACTGCTCAAGGTTGTGGGTGTGTTTTTTTTTTTCTTTCAGTCACAGCCTGATCAAAAGATTGTTCCTGATAAGTTGAATTCCTACCAAGTTACCCTTAAATTCCTAATTGGCTTACAGGTTTCCTAAAATATCAGTACGACATAAAAATAGCAGAGTAGGCTAGTTGGTCCAGCATTTTGGTTTGAGCAATTACTTTTATTACATATTTGGAACAGAAACATAATATGGATGGTTTTGAAAATCTTTCCTTAGAGGAGAAATTTTTTAGTCTTCAAACTTTAAAGGTGGCACTGGATCCTTTGAGCCCCATATTTTTATTGTGGATATTTGTGCCCTTAAAATCATTCAGAGCAAAAGCTACCTTAGGAAGAAAAACTTCCTGCAGTTTCATATATTTACTCACAGAAGAAGGTGTCCTTCATTTATTTCAGTCCCTGGAGGGTCTGTGATCTTGATTCTGATGCCCAGAATGTGAGGGAGAGACAACTTGGTAAATCCTTTAGTCACTTCCTACCTTAGTCCTGAGGAAATAGAGCAAAAAGCAGACGGTCATGGTCTCCACACTTGAGTATGTCATTAAATTTTCCATATAGAAGTTATTGCTGAATTTGGTAACGCTTTCAGATCAATTAAATCTTCTTAAACCCTACAGGTTACTTTTTTTTATGGGATCTGGGGTAAAATCCTCATATTCTTCCATAGTTTATTCTTCATGAAATGTGTCTCTTTTTGGAGGGCTCGGGTTGTTGAGAACTGCACTAATTCAGATAAATCTCAGGGATTCAGAAGTGAGTAGGTATCAAAGGGGGTTTGGATAAGCAAATGTGCAAGAAGAAAAGGGAGCTTGATGCCAAGTGATTGAGTTCCCAGTTGAATGAATTGCTCAGATTTTAGCAATTTTCATTGTTGCTTATGGTTAAAATGAGCGATGCTTTTTGCTCTGTAGTGTCTGAACGATAGGAATGGTGTAGCAGAATTGTCATCTGCTGTAGTATCCATAATAAAGTCAAATCAGCACCGGGGAAGAGAAGCAAGACTGCACTCCAGAAACTGTTGTGTGATATTTTTAGTTGGTTTGGTTTTTGTTGTGGGTTTTTTGGTTTTTTTTTAATTGAAATTACTAACTTCATTATAGAAGCTCTTCTGTTGCTGTTCTTTACAGTGACTGTGTGGCTTTAAATAGCAGCTGTGTTAAGTTGAAGGTGGAACTGGGAAACGCTGTGTAAATCTTCCTTTTCCTTGAGCGCATGCAGTAGGTTTTGATACTGATACCTTGTAATTTATATTACAGTAACTTTGCAAGACTACAGTCCTTCTGTGCTGCATAGTGAATTCTTAAGGGTTTAGAGAGAGAGTTTATGATTTGGAGGAGATGGGCAACATTTCAAAAAAAAAATACAGGGAAAACATTATCTTCTAGTAAGCTATAGACCTAAGAATTACAAGAATTCTAGAAAGTATGTCGATCTGTAGTACTGCCAGCTGGTCTTGGAACAGAGTAAACAGAGCTTGTATTAAAACATTGTCTTCATATGCAAATTCAGTTGTATTTATACCAGTAGGAAATGCTAATTTTTATATCAACTTTTGAAATTTATTGGTTGTGTTCATATAATAATGATAAAACAGTAGTTTCTTCTGGTCCCTCCTAACTGAAAGGAGTCAAAACTGCAGAAGTAAAATGAAAAGGAGGTCGGGAAGAAATAGCTTTTTGGATTACAAATTAAAGTATAGGTCAGTAAGGAAGAACACAGGGCAGCTGTAATTACTTTTTGAGGAGATTCCAAAGCCCTATTACTAATTTTGAGTCCAGGGTCGTTATAGGGTGGGTTAAAAGTAGTAGAGAATTACAGCTCAGTCTTTCTTCTTTAATAATGTCTGCTACTTAGATGGAAGTCAGATAAGCATTCTGATTTTGAAAGTTAGAAAACCCACATGGCTTTGACACAGGTCATACTGAGAAGTGTGTGTATGTGATTGCTTAAGGGACTAATGGATTTGTGTGAGAGAACCTAAAAGCTTGGGTATCTTGACCTGAATGCTATTCGGTGTCACTGATCTGCATGTCTAATGAAGAACTCCGTTTGACTTTCAAGGTCATTGGAGAGGAATAGGGTGTTCTCTGATTATTATTAAACAAAATGCTTAAAAAAACCCAACATAGACAAACAACAAAAAACCTTAAAACCTTAATGACAGGGATAGAATGTGACATTGGAATCTTTGCATTTTCAAAGTGGACCTGTATTTCAAACTTTTCCTTTTTTAGGTGCATGCCAAAGATGAGAAGTGGGGTAAATAATATGCTTAGGTAAATGTTCCCAGTCCAAATAATTAGAGTATTAGCTTATTAAACTACTGAGACCCCAGAGCATCTTAATAAATATTAAAGAGCATGATATTTCTGCATGTTAGAGGTTTGTGATGGCTTAGTGAAAAAAATTGACAGAAAGGGAAATTACCACTAAGTGGAACTGATAAGGTGACATTTCAAAGAATTAAGGTTGGAGATTGTTATGGGTGGACAAAAAGTAAGCACAGGACTCTTGTGACAGATGTCAGTGACTGGGTTGTAAACTAACAGAAACCAGCGAGGAGAAATGTATGCCTAGTTTTCCTGAAGGTAGCTTAGTTGTTTTCCTCAAAAGTAGTCATTTTTCCACTTCCATGTTATTTGAACACTACTTTCAGGAAAATTGGCAGGATGTTAAGAGGAAAAGAATCTAAAACCCATGTGAACAGCACATAGTGTCTGTTCTCCTCACTGCTTTTGGAACGTTCTAATTTCTTATGTGCTTGTGATACAGTAAGGGTAAAAACTCAGTAATTACAAGCTCTGGTCCAGACTTGAGAAGAATGTGGAAGGGTGCTCTTTGGGCACAAAATGCTGAAATAAAGGACATTTTGCCTCAACGTAAGGAAGCATTTCACTGTGAGGGTGACTGAGCACTGGCCCAGGCAGCTCAGGGAGGCTGTGGAATCTCCAACCATGGAGATACTCAGGTCCTGGGCAGCTGGCTGTGTATGTCCCTGCTTGAGCAGGCGGCTGGACAATATGACCTCCAGAGCTCCCTTCCATCCTCAACCATTCTGTGAAATAAAGACTGCTTTCTGCACTAACAGCCTGGGGGACTTGTTGGATTTGTCATCTGGGGAGAACTCATAGTCATTGAGGAATGTTAGACTTGGACAAAGGTATATATTAATGACCTTGGTAATGCAAGAGTATCCCTCTTGAGAAAAATAAGAACTGAAATTCAATAAGGACAAATTTAAGTTCAGAGATAAGAGTTGGGTTGAAGAATTAAAATAGCTTATGTAGTCAAGTATAAAAAATAGTTATGTAGGCTACTTGGCAAATTAGTTTTTTTCGGCATATTTCAAACCTAATGTTGTGAAAAGCATATGCAGATTAAAAAAGCCAAAGTTTCCTTTCTTTGTCTTAAATAGGCTGCGAGCATCTGTTTGGTGTCAGGATTCTGATACTGTACATATGCTTGTGCCCTGCCCCTGTTTAACTTTCTAGGAGATGCTAATTCCTGTTGTCATAAGGAAGGAGGAACCATTTTCAGTTAAAGAATAGATATTGCTGGTGAAGAAATATGATGTAATTGCTACAGCTGAGGCTTTCCAAAATTGCTGCAGCCCTGTACGAAAAGCGCAGCAAAGCTGTGCTTCCCGGTAGAGTCAGGGTTGTAAGGATGGAGTGGTCAGACACCACCTGAGTTTCACAAAGACCCTCAGCAGTGGCCAGGTGACCTGTTTGTATCTATCCCTCTGAAATACAGGAAATGCCATTGTTTCTGTTTTGCAGAAAAACTGTTTTGAAAGCAGCTGTAATTTCTAACATCTGTAGATGTGCTCTGGTACTGACTGGAAACCTTGGATGTGAGACAAGGTACTTGTCAGCATGTGTGGCTGCTCATCAAAGTGTATAGAGAGAGAGAGAGAAAGTGGTGATTGAACCTCAAACCATAGGGTAGCTTGGCTTCATTTCCAAGCCTCCCATTAATGTTGAGAGTCCAATTTCAAGCTCTTTCTTTAGGACACATATTGGGTGGGGGAGGACAGGACCATCAGCTGGGTTTCCTCAGTCATTGTTGAACATGTTGGTGTAAGATTATTTTTTGTCAGCAAAAACTTGTAACACTTTATCTTTTTAGTCAAACCTTCGTATTCGACCTGACCCCTCCCCCAAATAAATGATGATCTGCCTGAACTGCAGCTTCTCATCAGATTTTGGCAAACCTGTGTTGAACGGGAGTGATGTTAAAATACTTTTCCACATCTTGCAAAAAAAAAAAAAAAAGATGTGTACCTTGTGGTCCCTTTTCTGGTCCCTACTTGAGCTGTGGGGGTTGGACAAGGTGACACCCAAAGCTCCCTTTCAACTTCAGTCATTCTGTTACTTTTAGGGATCACTACTGGTGGGGTGGTGGTGGTGTTGTTATTGTGGGGGTGGTTGGTTGTTGTTTTTTTTTTTTTTTTTAACTTCCATTTTTGTTTTGGCATTGCTCTTTCCCCAAACATTTTGTTACCCTTTGGCGTCACTATGGCCCGGTATTTATACAGTGATGTTAATTGCTTCTGTGAAGGAATGACTGGAGGGAGTGGTGGTGGGTTTTTTCCCCCTCGAGCTTTGAACTGCCAAAAGAGAAGAATTCTTTCCAAAACCAGAGTAGTGCAAAGCGCTTCGGTTTTCTGAGGATCCTTCGTTCTAGTATAAGTAGGTATGTTTACAATAAACATTTGAGATATCTCACCTGTGAATACAAATGGGGATGTAAATTTTTAGGACTTTTGTGGCAGAGAGAAGACAGGAGCATTGCAGTCAGACTGTGGTGTAGCATCTGCAAAATATGTCCTTGTTATATTAAAGGATACTTAACTAATTTGTTTCGTTAGGCTTATATGATTCTACTCTGTTGTCCATGCTTTCTCGTAACATGTTTCACGATGCTAAGAGGCAGATGGGCTTTATAAAAATGTTGCTGTTCAGTAGCAGAAGCAAGTTGCTGTAACACTGGCTTTTGTGACCTCTCTGAATCCTGAGAGCTTGATGAGAAGCGAGCAGCCCCCAAAGGCTGTGGGACAAGGCTTTGTGATGGGCTCAGCCGCTGGCCTTGGGGCTGCCTCAGGGCTATTCCTGGGTCAGGTCAGAGCAGCTTGAGGAGATCTGGGATGTGCTGCCAGTTTGAATCCAGAAGAAGGAATGCCCCAGGTCTCTGAAGCCTTGGGCAGTGTTAAAATGCTGATTGCTGAGCTGTCCCATTAACGCGTCTCTGGTAGCTCTGCTGTCAGCAGTAGCTTCCTGGACAGAGCAACAGAAATAAAGTGCTCACTGGGTAGAGCATAGAGCAGTTTTGTGTTGGTCCTGCATGCTTGGGTGACACTGTAATCACAGAATGGTTTGGGTTGGAAGGGACCTTAAAGACCATCTAGTTCCAACCCCCCTGCCATGGGCAGGGACACCTTCCACTAGACCAGGTTGCTCAAAGCCTCATCCAGCCTGGCCTTGAACACTTCCAGGGATGGGGCATCCACAGCTTCTCTGGGCAACCTGTTCCAGTGCCTCACCACCCTCTCCGGGAAGAACTTTTTCCCTGATATCCAATCTAAACCTCCCCGCTTTCAATTTAACCCCATTACCCCTTGTCCTGTCACTACAGGCCCTTGTAAAAAGTCCCCTCCAGCTTCCTTGTAGCCCCTTCAGGTACTGGAAGGTGCAATAAGGTCTCCCTGGAGCCTCCTCTTCTCCAGGCTGAACAAGCCCAACTCTCTCAGCCTGTCCCCATAGCAGAGGTGCTCCAGCCCTCTGAGCATCTTCGTGGCCTCCTCTGGACTCGCTCCAACCGGTCGATATAACTGCAGTTGTACAGATCGGTGTGCTGGCCTATGCTACTGAACTGTTGCAGTCATGCCTGAAAAAGGTGTGTGTCTTCTAACAGGGAGGGTAGGACAAAAGCTCTAGCTACCAGAGTTCTGCATGTTAAGGAAAATTGTCATGACTAAGGAAAACCAAACCTTAGCTACTGCTGCATAGCCACGTTTTAGTGCAATTTTCACCAAAAAAAGTGCTTGTGTTTTTTGCTCAATGAGAAAATTTAACCTCATGAACCAACTTTCATCCTACATGACGGGAAAGATCTTCTCCTTCCTATAAATGTAAAAAGTCAAGAGGAATAGGTACAAGCGGTCTGCCCTGCTTAGAAGGCTCTGATAAAATTAGTACCTTTCTGTGGTGTGCTCCAGTTCTACTTTCTTTGTCTCCGGGACACTTTTTCAACCACCGTATTGGCATCTAATAGATTAGGTATCTGAGGCTTCCTTTATTGAAGAGAGAGAGTACTGGGGAGTGTACCTCCTTTCGTGGCATCTAGGAATGTGTCCAGAAACTATTTCAGTGGGTCTGAGCTAGGCAAATATACATGCCAAAAAAACTAGCATAAAACTCCTTAAATGAGATTTTTTTTTTTTGCAGGGTGTTGGGGACTAATACAGACTTTGTGTTAAGAGCAAGTGTTTGCAATATATATATTCTGCAGGCAGAACAAAATCTCTTTATTCTGGGATGTGAAGTGTTTCTTAATTACAGCCTTATTTAATTTTTCTGAGCTTCATAAGAACTCAGACTCTTTCCAACTGACTCATTCATTTGAACTCTTCCATGCCTTATCTTACCATTTAAAGGCCTTTGCTTGGTAACAGTAGTCTCTGTATGCTAAGGGATGTCTCACTGTATGCATCTCTCTTCTGATTGATCTGACTCCTCAGTTACAAACTGACACACTCTGGAGTTATCTGTAAGAGTCCCCTTCCCTCTCATGGACATTTTTAATGTAATTTAGAGCTGTAACAAGCTCTTAGCAGCCCATCAGTAGTTAACTGATCTGTACCCTGTAGAGAATGGAGAGTTTCAGTAATTGAAGATAAGAATTTTCTATTATATCTGGGGAGAAATTTTAATTATTTCCAGAATGTAGTGAACTGCTTGCTGCTCATGCTCAGCTGTGCGCGTGGGGTGTTTTCTTCAGCCGCTGTTTAGTTTTGGACTGGTGACCTGTTTTGAATTTTGTGATGTTGAAAACTTGTATCTTTTTGCTACTGCGAAAGTTGTTTCCTGGAATACTATTATTAAAGAAAGTGCTGTGTATTAATAGGAGCCATACTCAAGAATTATGTATTTTGACTTTTGTGTCTTCACAGAACCATTCCCATGATCATTTATTAGACACTAGTGACTCGAGGAAACAGCAAGCTAACCAGCACAACTACCGTACGAGATACGCAGTAGAGGAAACTGCACGGCCTGCTGAAGAGTTAGAAAATGGACACAGTTCCTCAGATGTAAGATCCTTGCTCATGAGGCAATATTATGTATTCCATTTCTACTCGTTAAGCTCCTACTTCAGCTAATTAAACACTGTTTCTAGTAGAAACTTGGGTTATGTTTTTAACTGTGCGTTTTCTTTCACGTCTTTCAAAAATTCATAGAATCACAGAACGGTTTGGGTTGGAAGGGACCTTAAAAATCATCTAGTTCCAACCCCCCTGCCATGGGCAGGGACACCTTCATATTCAGTTAGGTTTTCACATGCTATTGCATGTTTTACCTTTGACTAAAAAGTAGTTGACAGAAGGGAGAAATGCTCATTTGTAAGGGCATTTTGCAAAATATGTGTGTGCAATGTTAAATCTTCCCTATATTTGTAAGTCTCATCAGTATAGCCCATGTGACCTGTCAGGGTGGTCACGGGCTGGAGGTGGCCTTGACTGAACGGGGAGATTGGGCAGTAACAATATTTAGAGGTCCCTGCCAGCCTCAACCTCTCTGTGCTTCTGTAGCTACAGCGGAGAAATAAGAGTACATGAGGTTTGTACTGCGTTTTGGTTTGATATTAATTGAAAAGATGTGAAAATACCCCATTAAAAAGGGCTGGAAATAATTTTCAGAAAGGTAAGCTGGCCTTCTTAAACAGAGACTGGGAAGCACTCATGTCTCCACTGGATATGTGTTAAAAAAACTGTTGCTTGACGCTGTGCATCTGTCCAAGCACAGATATATTAAGTCCATTAAAGTAAGTGTCTGCAAACTAGAATGCCTTTTTAACAACATGAAGCTTGTGTAAGTGCTCTAAGTTAATACACACATAAAGGCTAGAAGAGCCTTAGTCATGTTGTCATGTATTACATCTTTTGAGTTCCAAAGAACGTGTTTTCTTTTTCCCTGTTCCCCCGGCCCTGCCTTGTTAGGAAGGAGAAGTAGTTGTTGCCAGTGGTGGAACATCAGAAGACGATGAAAGAGCGTGGCACAGTGATGGCAGTTCCAGGTAAGTGACAGTAGACCTTGCAGAGAAAAGTCCTCCTGATGAATTTTAAATTATCTTCTCTGTAAACAAGTTAGCAATAACTAAAACTTGTGCACAGTTATAAGAAAAGGTGAAAAAGAAAACTTCAGGGTTTCATTTTCAATTACTTACTAACTGAAATCTGGGGAAGGTTTCATCCTTGCTTGCCAGAAGCAGAATTGTTTCTGGTTGGTTTTGCAGGAGGGTGCACACACGCTTCAGGCATGTGGTAGCAGTTTCCTGTGACTGTCAGTCTGAGCTGTGTGACTGCCTCTGCTGAGCCTTGGTTGAAATTAAGGAGCAAAGATTGAGGTAGCTGCAACCCATCCTTTTTAATTCTTTAGCAGATTTTTTTCAAAGACTCAAAACCGGAAGTCCCGAGAACAATATCCAGGCTTTAACCTGTGACATCTTGAACTAACCAAGTGAACAGGGAACTGACTCCTAGTGGTGCTAGAAGTTAAGCTTCTTACAAGACTGAATGATCTCAAGGCTTTTGGTTTCCTACCATTTAAATTGCAGGTAGAATATAGGGTTTTAGGCACTGGATTTAACGAGGTTTTTTTTTTTTTTTTTGGGAATATCCTACATAGTGACTATTCCAGTGATTATTCTGACTGGACAGCAGATGCAGGAATCAATCTGCAACCACCAAAGAAAATTCCTAAAATTAAAACGAAGAAAGCTGAAAGTAGTTCAGAGGATGAAGAAGGACCTGAAAAACAAAAGAAGCAAATTAAAAAGGAAAGGAAAAAAGGTATTGAGGAGAAAGATGGACCATCAACATCACCAAAGAAGAGGAAACCCAAAGAGAGAAAACAAAAGGTTAGATGTTCTTTACATATTACAGGATGCTCGCTCCTACTGGCTTAGAAAGAATTGGATGAATGGTTCAGTTACTTATGCAGCGTAACTGTCATCTAGTTTGAAAACAGATTATGACTTTACTAGTAATAATTGATAACTACGGACTCTTGTAAGTCGGATGATAGATTGCTGTAATGATACGCTTTCTCCAGATGATGTGCTTCACTTAAGGAAGACTTTTAATGTCCTTAACACCATCTTTTCCCAGACCAGAAACTTCCTTTGCATGGGTGTACTGAGTATTGGTCTGGCAGGAACCTGTATTTTTGCAGCTGACTCTCTCCCTACTCACTTGCAATTTCTTTTAGGTCTGCACCATCATGTCATTTTTCTCCTATCACTTCCACGACGTATATTTGTATTATGCTTGCCACTGTCCTTCCACCAAGGGGAATTCCCCTTGATTGGGGTTTTGTTGTTTGTGTTTTGCTTTTCTGCTTTCTGATACAACGTGTAATTCCAGTTTAGATCAGTACATGGAAATTTTTAATGACTTTTTGTTTGTTTCAGTGGTGGTGTTTTTTGAAGCTTTTTGTTTTTAATTAGGCATTAAATCAGAAAACTTGGGTTCTTCCTTCTTCCTTTATAGAGATAAGTGATAGCTTCTATTTTTGCAATACCCAAGGAAACAAAATCATCTATTTAGTTTGTTTGTAAGATTAGGACTCCTCAGCATTTAAGAACATTGTTTCAGCATTTTGGCCCTGATTAGAAGGTAGATTGCCGAAACAGCTGTTCTGATACGCAGGTTGGGATAGTGTGGACTTTACTGTGAATCTTTGGTAAGACATGCAGGATGTTTGGGGCTAGTCTTTATTCTTTGATTAGGCTACTTTTTGTTCATTGTATGCAGTCGTTGGCTGTAGTGTCAATATTAATGCTGTCTGGGTATTTACACAGTCTGAAAACAGAACATATGAGATAAGAAAAATAAATGGTGTTTGGTTTTTTTTTTTTAATAGTTGAAAGCTCTAGTTTAGCTTTTTATTATAAAACATAAGACTGGCTGACAGCCTAGTATTTGCACTTAAGCTGAACTGAGTGGTTTAGGAATCTTGCATCCATTTTGGTCCCAGTTATCGAGATGCAGGAGATCTTTGATTCCAAAAATACCAGACTTAGATATTTCAGGTTTTTAAAGATGACCTGCCCTATTCTTGAATCACAAGAAAGTATTAGGCTGTAAGGAATATCCAAAAACCATCCCTCTTCCCTCTGCCTCTAGGTAGGATTAATTATAACTGTCATTCCTGACAGATGTTTATCTTTGAAGTTTCTTCTGGGGAGATTCTACCTCCTTAATGGTAGGAAGTTCTTCTGTTTCCTGAACCTGAATCAGAATCGGGGCTTTCCTTTGAGGAAAGAAGTTTTGACCATCTTTGTAGCGAGGCACAGAATCTTAGGAATTATGAAAGAATTCTCTGTTAATGGATGGGCTGTTGAGATCTTGAATGATACTTACTTTTCTAATCCCCTCCACCAAAAAATCAATCCAAAAAAAGGATAGAGCAGTGAAGACGGGCAAGAAAGGAGCACCCAAGAAGGTCAAAGGATACAGAGTATTTTTTCTCTGGGGCAGACACAAAGAGGCTAACTCTTAGAGGGGAGAGAATTTGGAGGAAGTGTGATGATAGAGCCTTTATAAAACTATGAATGGTTTAAAAATGGATAAATGCAGAATGATTTCCTTCCCTATTTTGTTACAGTGAGATGTAACACACTCAGTGACACAGACGTGAAGGTCAAAAAAGAGCCCTTTCCCCATTCAGCCCCGACACCCCGAAAGCAAACGAAACCCCAAACCACCTGTGCATGTAACCAGGTGTGGAACTAATTACTAAAGGACTTAGTAGGGTTTCAGAAATCATTAGACAAATTCACTGGGACTAGTCTCTTCCTGATGATTAACTGTGGTGGCCTGAGTTTGGCTTTGGCTTCCAGTAGGTCTTAAACTGATTTTTAATGTGTGAAGTTACAATAGAGGAAGATTTTCTGTTTAAAGGCAATGTCTTACTACCTTCCCCTAATTCAGCAATGAGCTAGATGTGGACACACAGTCTGAAAATGGAGTTCCACAGCACGTTGTAGTAAATATGCCAGTAGGTAACGTGGGTGTGCCCAGTTTGGGTCACTGTCATGTGCTTTACCTCTGTTTATGTTCATTAATCTCTTCCTCCTCATTTTGTGGAGTTCCTTAATCAGAGGCAGCTGTTACAGTTGTCATGTCCTATGGGCCAAGGCAACCGTGTGAATCTGGTTAAAGAGAATTTTATCTTTTGGGTCATGAGACATAGTTACTGGGGTGTTAATAAAATCAGTCTTCGTTAGAAGAGCCCTGCCACCTCCATCCCAAAACCATAAAACTAAAATAAAGTTTTTGGTCTTGGTGTTACTGTAAGCAGTTAAGTAAGATTTGTCTTCACACTGGCAATAATTTTCTTTTTACAGTAAACACTTAATAAATGGCAGTTGATTTTAATAAAACACTTCCCAGAATACAAGGCCTCTCCGAATGTTGTTCATGTTAAACTTCTGTGTGCATTCTCTCCAGAGGTTGGCTGTGGGAGTTCTGGCAGAAAATGGTTTGACGCTGGAAGAATGGCTGCCTTCAGCATGGATTACAGACACCGTTCCTCGTCGGTGCCCGTTTGTGCCACAGATGGGGGATGAGGTACTGGGGTTTTGCCCTCTTCCTTCTTTTGCCTTGTTTTTGCCTTTTTTAATATTTTCATCTGTGCATATTTTCCAGACGTTTCATACCATTTATTATCAGAAATATTTTGCATTTTCTGCAAAACATTCTTTGATCTGGCTAAAATTTGTTTTCACTTCCTTTCATCTTTCACATGCTTAAAAAATGCTCTGCAGTGCTGCTTTGATGTTTTTTACTCCGCGCTGTTGCAGTAACATACCTTCTTGTGCTGCGTTCAGCGCATTGTGTGACACCGTGTACACGAGCTGTGCGAGACGCTGTATCTAGTGAAAGGATAGAGCGTTGTTGTAGAGCATCTTGTACACTGAAGGGTAGGTAAGAAATGAGTACGAATTTAGGGTGTTTGGAGAACTTTGGAACTAAAAACCAGGAATTAAACCTTTAAGGGGAGGGTGGTTTATTGTGTTGTTTCTTTTTTAAATGAATTTATTCTGAAGAAAATCTCTGATATTGCCCTTTTCACTTGTGTTTCCGATCTGAGAAAACTTTTTCTGGTCTCTTAGAACAGAAAACTACAAGACAGGTTTTGTATGTATGTTCTTTATACAAACTAGGCTGTAAATACTTTGTAAGCATGGCTCAGATCTCTTAAAATACAGTACCAAAGGACACCCACCTATTTTCTACTTTGAAATATGTGACGTGAATGTTACAGTGAGGTGTATGAATAAGTGGTATCCGATTGCAGGCAGCCTTGAAAATCAGGGTCTGTGCATGTTTCCTAAAATCCCCTCAGGCTGAAATAAGGAAATAGGTGGCTTACGCTGTAATGTGTTGTCTGTCGGCTCTTCAGGGAGTGGCTCGTTCCTGAGGTACTAAATGGAGTTCTTGTTTAGTTCACACCTTCAGAACGCACTTGGGGAAATACTGGTGGTGATGGCGAAGTTGATTAACTTTGGTCTTGAGCTGGAGCTGTTTGTAGGTACCACCTCAGAAACCGAGTCGGGAAGAGAGCTTGCGCGTGCAAGCAGTTGTGTTTTTACTGGATCTCGTCACAGAGGCAGTTCACAGCACTGCTATGCAAAATTTGCATC